TCCGCACCAGGCCCAGATGGGATTGGGAAGCAGGATATTCTCAATTGGGACCCTTGGTGTGAGACCCTCACTCGTCTGTTCAACATGTGGTGGTTCACAGGTGTCATACCGACAAGCCTGAAGAAAAGTCGTACAGTGCTAATTCCCAAGACATCTGACCCAGGAGCGGTGATGGAGGTTGGTAGCTGGAGGCCGATCACCATCGGGTCAATTATCTTAAGGCTCTTCACTAAGGTGGTGAACAAATGAATGCAGGAAACGTGTCCGATCCACCCTAGACAAAGGGGGTTTCGTCCTAGCCCCGGGTGTGCGGAGAACATCGAGGTGCTGCAGGGCCTCATCCGCCACTGCAAAGAAGAGCGCAGCCAACTTGCAGTGGTATTTGTCGACTTTGCACAGGCTTTTGACACCGTCTCCCATGAGCACATCCTGTCAGCTCTTGGCCAGATGAACGTTGATCCTCGCATGATAGGTCTAATCCAGCAGATCTATACGGACAGTAGGACCCATGTCGAGGTCAGGGGTGGGATCACCCCTGATATTAAAGTGAGGGTTGGTGTCAAGCAAGGAGACCCGTTGTCTGCCCTGCTTTTCAACCTGGCCATGGACCCTCTTATCCATGGTCTCAAACGCTATGGCAAGGGATACAGGTTGGCAGGTCACTCAGTAACAACTCTTGCTTTCGATGATGACCTGGTGCTTATCGGAGGATCTTGGAACAATATGACCCACAACTTGCTCCTGCTGGACGAGTTCTGTCAGAACACCGGCCTATGCGTCAACCCGAGGAAGTGTCACAGCTTCCTGGTCAAGCCGAAATCCATCATCTTTGAGCTCAAATTTGTCCGCTCTCTTCTCCCAAGCAACTGACCCTTCCTAACTCATCTCTGGTGAAGCGTGCACTGTAATGCACTAAGTAAAAAAAGATGCAACACAGTCAAGTTGCGAACTGGGTACGCTACTACAAAAGACCTACATTTACATTTAAACGTTGTTATAGGGAACATGTTGAAAGTCGCTGCTGAAACAAGGGTATGTTTTCGCAAAGTGCCAGATGAGCAGAAAATTACATTATATTTTGTATATGTAACAAGAGACATGTTTTGAAACCGGCGGAGACAACTGTTCCTACCAGCCTCAGCGTGGTGGCTACACATTGTTATGATGTTAATAAGACAACATCTCTATTACAAACCCCTATATGTTGTTGTTTTTTGCATACTATCGCAACGTCCCAATCCAGATATTCTGGAAAACGTAAGATTGGCATGGACACACAATTCGGATCTGAACAGTTGCAATACACAGTGCATGCGTCAATAATTTTAGATCAGATTCCAATCGGATAAACAAATAATCGGATTTGGATTGACAGTCTGAACGTAGCCTTAATTGCAAGTGATCAAATACGATTTGTGCAACATAAGCAACCTATCTGCATGGGTTGCTTTGGTAATGGCGTAGGCCAGGTGTAAGACTGTAAAACTTGTTGGAGAAACTGTCCTGACCACATGGACTATTGAAACAAAGGAACTTGCTGAAAATTAACACGGTGGGGCATACAAATTCTTAAAAGTGTAAAATCAGAATGTCCTGTTTTTTATTAGTATTTTTTCTGCTAGGCATTAAATTAATTTTTTTTTTTAAATGTATGCTTTTACGCTGTGTAGCATCATCTCTCATTCCAGCCTGATGATCTGAGGGTAGCTGCTCGCATCTCAGCCTACCTGACAGATTTGCTTTATACAACATTAGGAGGATCAGGCCCTTCCTATCAGAGCTACACAACTCCTTGTCCAAGCGCTTGTTCTATCCAGACTGGACTATTGTAATACTCTCCTGGCTGGTCTTCCAGCTTGCACTGTCAAACCTCTGCAACTGATCCAGAATGCTGCAGCTAGAGTGATCTTTCAAGATTTCAACGAGCTGAAGAGAGCACACGTCACTCCTCTCCTCACAAAATTGCCAGTTGCCGCTCGCATCAAATTCAAGTCAAGTTACCTACAGAACAACCACTGGCTCTGCTCACTTTTACCTAAACTCATTACTTCAGATGTACGCACCATCCAGAAACTTGCGCTCTGCAAGTAAATGTCGTCTCGTGGTGCATCACCTCAATGAGGCACAACATCTCTTTCTCAGACCTTTACCTGGACTGTTCCCTGCTGGAGGAATGACCTGCCTAACTCAACCAGGGGTGCGTTTCCCGTACAACGATGCAACTCGCTGGTTTAACTACCATAGTACGATGCATCTTTAAAGAAATCAACTAGCTAGTCACTACTGTTTCCCGAAACCATGGTACCTGTGTCGCAGATCCATGGTTTGAACCACATTGGTTGGAGCTGTCGTTATGACGTTCTTCTTCTTCTTCTTCGATCTAATGGCGGACTGGTGCTATGAGCACATATCGCCACCTGCTGTAAATTTGGTTATTTTCTCTTTTCGACTGCGCTTTCTTAGTGACGATGTGGAGTAATTACATTAACAACTCAACATTCATGCTTTGCACAATAAAATATATACATATATAAACACAATGTTGTCTTCTCTGATCCCAAAATCTAACTATTAATTTCACAATTTCATATTTATTAATTTCTTATTGAATATTGATAGATCAGCACAATTAAAATGAAAATAAATGATGGGTTTTAAGAACACTGTGATTGTTATATTATGAACACCTGTTGCATATTTTGCTTAAGATCATTAGCCTACCTATTTAAGTCCCCTTGCTATACAGCTATGTGTTCATATGACCTGTCTGAAAATGACGCGAAAACCACAATTTTCAAAAAATGAAGTTACAATTCTTTTGGAGGAGGTGGAGAATAATAAAATCCAGCTATTTTCAAAGCTGAAAAATTGTGTTACAAATGCTGATTAAAAAAAATCCTGGGCAGAAATCACCCAAAAAATAAATGCTGCTGGCTATGGTTATGAGCGCAGCCCAGAAGAAGTTAGAAAAAAGTGGACAGATTTCGCAAGTGTGACAAAACGGAGGGCTGCAAAACGTAGAAGGGAAGCAAAAAAGACTGGTGGGGGTATCAACTCCGTTCCTCCTCTGACTGCAGAGGAAGAGAAAGTTTTGGCCATCCTGGGGCCTGAGGCATTGGAAGGGATCCCTGGAGGCATAGATTTATGTGCGTCAACCAGGCCTTTGAATTCAAAGTTGAGCCCTGGAACATCAGGCCCCTTCCACCCTGGCCCTGGAACATCAGAACCCCTTCAACCTGCCCCTCTAACATCAGGCCCCCTTCAACCTGCCCCTGTAACATCAGAACCCCTTCAACCTGCCCCTCTAACATCGGGCCCCCTTCAACCTGCCCCTGTAACATCAGAACCCCTTCAACCTGCCCCTCTAACATCGGGCCCCCTTCAACCTGCCCCTGTAACATCAGAACCCCTTCAACCTACCCCTGTAACATCAGCAATGAGTCCTGGTCTTGGGCTATTGCTCCCTTCTCCTGACTCCCCTCAGTCTGAGGCCTCCTCATGTGCTGGGCAACGTCGTTCTGGCATTACAGAAAACCAGCCATTAATCTCCCACCAAAGGAGAAACAGGGGACGTTGTGGCTGCAGTGAGAAGCTGCTTCAGTCGGAGAAGAAGAAATTATCTGAACTCCAGGGAATCAGGAGAGAACTGAGAGCCCTGAAGGAGCAGCAAGGCCAACATCATCAGGAGGTTATGGCCTATAGTAGGGCTAAATTGGAACTCCTGCAACAACAAGCCAGCAAGCCCTCTTTAACCATGTTTCTACCAACAGACAGTAAGTGAAAATTGTGTTATTTACTCAGTATGGAAAGTCAAATCATGTGTGGCTGACAGCCATGTCATCTTTTTCTTTTTCAGATCCACAGATGTAACCCTCTTTTTTTTTTCTTTTTTTTTTTGCCTACATTGTTGGCCTTCATGCCTCCCAAAATCCAACCCCTCGTCCTTGTCGTGGGAGGTGGAAACAGACTGGTTCTGGAAAATGGAGCTCTGGTGAAGCTGTGTGGTGCATGGCATTCAATTTATTTTTCAGTGATGAAGTTAAAACCCCTCAGCAGTTGAACTGAAATACAAATAAATAAAAAATGTTATGGCCAAATATACTCTTTTGTAATATGTATTTCAAGTGCTTTTCTAATACACTGGGCATTCAGTTTAATATGAGTTAAAGAGCATACTATTGTAACTTGACTCAAAGTAGTATATTAATGCCACATAAAAATGCAGGCATTACTTAGTGAAGCTGAAGCATGTTTACCATGCCATGTCATCCTTTATTAAATACCTGAATAATGTGACCAAGCCTGATAATGAAACATATGGAATGTAATTTTTATTTTGAAGTGGTAAGCTACCATCACATAAATAAACCATAAAGTAAATGAAAATTTTGTTAATTCACAACATTAATATCATCAATGACAATATAAGCCAAACATAACACAAAACACTCTTAAGTACTTAGACCATTCTTAAGAGAAGAATGAAAAATATGAAATAACAGAAAGACAACCGCCTATTTTAAACCAAATCAACATATACAATATATTAATGTTGTACCATATTACTATAAAAAATCAAAGATGGTAATAATGAATTGTAGTAATTAAATTAATTTAGAATGATTATTAGCTAAGGTGTTTCTATTAACTCTGGTGCATCAAAAGCAGGTGTACTAATGCCTCTCCTAATAAAAGTTACACTTATGTGTTTCAAGTGCTCAACAATGGCAGCTTTACAAAGATTCTTACAGCTGGAGCACAGAAGGCGGCTGAGAAGTCAATCAGTTTATATAAATGCCCACATAAGGACAAATTTTACCCCTCTTGACTCACTATCTGATGATGCAATTTTAAGAAAATTCCGTCTTCCAAGGACCAAGATTCTTGAATTATTTCAGATAGTGAAACCACACCTTCAGAGGGCAACAAGAAGAAACTACGCCTTAAGTCCAGAGGTGCAGTTGTTAGCTACACTGCATTATTTTGCTGTTGGAAGTTTTATGGAGGTGGTGGGTGATGGCCTGGGGCTCAGGAAGTCTTCAGTCAGCAAAACTGTGACAACAGTAACACCTTTGCTGTTACAGCTGATGAAGAGCATCCTGGTTTTCCCCAAAACTCCTGAGGAAATACAGCTGGCCAATCAACAATTCTATGATATTGACAACATCCCCAGAGTGATTGGCATCATTGATGGCACCTTAATCCCAGTATTAAGCCCTAAGGTAAATGAGCCCTTGTACATTTGCAGGAAGGGCTATCCAGCCATTAATGTTCAAGTAGTGTGTGATCACCAGGGAATGTTCACTGACATTGTGGCAAAATGGCCTGGAAGCACACATGACTCTTTTGCATGGGCCAATTCTGCAATTTGCCAGATGGCTGAAGAAGGTGGCTTTGGTGATAGCTGGCTGCTGGGAGACAGTGGATATCCTCTTCGCCCCTACCTTTTGACACCTGTGCAGCATCCAGCCACCATTGCAGAGGAAAGGTTTAATCAGGCCCATGGAAGGACACGCTCTATAGTGGAGAGGACTATAGGACTGTGGAAACAACGTTTTCGCTGCATCAGCAAGTCCAGTGGTGGCCTAAAGCTAAACCCTACCAAAAGCTGTTCTGTTATTGTGGTTACTGCAATTCTCCACAACATTGCAGTCAGGGAAAATGTCCAGCTTCCTGAAGAGGAAGTTGGAGCCGATGGTGAGGAAGATGCTGTTTCTGATGATGATGATGATGATCCTTTGAACCCACATCAAGGCAGAATGCATCCTGCAGAAGCAGAAGTCAGAGAACTTTTAATTCAGAATATGTTTGGATGGTAGGCTAATATTTTACAGTTTGGATACTGTGTTTTCTATTATTTGTTTCATTTAATCTGACATAACTTGTGTTAATAAATAATGCTGTTTATTTGCCTATGTTTCCCCCCAGCAGACTTCACTTAAATACTTTTGCAAACAATAAATATGTATTTGTTTCTTATAACGCCATGAGAATATTATATTCTACTACACAAAACTGCTTATTTATAAAATGTTTCTTCATTCATTGACTATATATAAAAAATACTGTGGTTTGAGTGTGTAATATTTTAAATAGCCTATGTTAACGTATGTAAATAAGCCTACGTTTCCTTAGCGTTAAGCACTGCATATGTTGCGTATATGTGTAGGCTACAGATACAATTTAATATTTAAGGGTAACCCCCTAAAATAATTTTTGTAAAATAGTTATATGACAATTTGTCTTTGGGAATTTAACAAAGCTACTCACTTGCACACTCACCGTTTCTTCGCACAAACGAAACCAAGCCTGCGTCCCAACCGGCAAAAATAATCCTTTCGGAGTGCACTTCGAAGGGAGAATAATTGCGATCGTCACGCTATTATATCGTTTCAAATAATTTGCAATAAAGAAAGCAAATTGTGTAAAACCTGAGCACCTCGACTTTAAGTCATCCAAATCACTTAAAGTGGATGGTGAAAGCTTCGAAAGAATAGGGTCGATAGGTCTGAATAGAACACATCCCAGCTGCTGCGAAATCAATGACGTCGACACAACAAACTAACAAGGAACTATGCTTCTAACCAGAGGTCAAGAGCTGTCGTTCCAACCACAAAAGTTTGCGATGCAGTTTGCGAATGTTCGTTTGAACTATGGTTTCGGGAAACACCAAATCGTTGGACTATGTTAGTAACGACGGAACTTGCGACCATAGTTGGCTAACGATGCTTTCGGGAAACGCACCCCAGAGCGGCTGAGTCCGTAGCAATTTTCAAGAAATGTCTGAAGACGCATCTTTTTTGCGAACACTTGATCCCTTAATAACACTTTCTCTTCTATTATATATCCATTTATATAAAAAAAATGTAATTAAAAAAAGTACATTACTGGATTAGATTAAACTGGGAAGGGTCATAGCACTTGCATTTTGTTGTCCTATTGTTAGTTTAACTGCTTCTATTGTTCTCATTTGTAAGTCGCTTTGGATAAAAGCATCTGCTAAATGAATAAATGTAAATTTACAGTTACAGTATGCTTTAAATTTTGTTTGATGTTTAAGTTTTATGTCCATGAGAAAGTCACATAAACACGATCAGAAATGGATATTCAAAAATGCGATTTGAAGAGGATTTCAAACCACTTATGAATGTAGCTTGAAATGGATTTCATGAGATGTTTTGCCGTTCACACTTAAAGGACAACTCCGGTGCAAAATGAACCTCGGGTGTAATAACACATTGGTACAGACTAAATCGTTCCCTGAGATGATAATCGAATGTAAAGAGTTTTATCTCTAAAAACAGTTTAGCTTATAACGCTAGTATATTGGGCATCAAGTAAGCAAAAAGAGATCGCTAGTTAATACCATTAACAAGGCTCAAATTAGCCCCACACTAACACGGCAGCATAATGAGTGTCCTTACATGCAAACCGAAGCATTGAGAACTTTGTAAGTGTATAGACAGTTTAATAAGAAGATACTTTACACAGACAGTACAGTTAGCGCATACAGACAGCAGCCATCTTGGAAAACAGTCTCGATCAGTCAAACCACGAACACGGTGATACGTGAGCTAATATGTGACTTGGAATCTCCTATGGTCCGTTGTTTCCGGAAGAAAGCACTGAGCGCATAAGAGAAGCACTGAACGCAACAGAGAAAATAAAAAAATAAATATAATTTATCTTATCTTCAATATCTACACGTACTGTTCGCTCACCTTCGTGGTTCGATTGATCGAGACTGTTTTCCAAGATGGCTGTTGTCTGTATGCGCTAACTGTACTGTCTGTGTAAAGTATCTTCTTATTAAACTGTCTGTACACTTACAACGTTCTCAATGCTTCGGTTTGCATGTAAGGACACTCATTATGCTGCCGTGTTAGTGTGGGGCTAATTTGAGCCTTGTTAATGGTATTAACTAGCGATCTCTTTTTGCTTACTCGATGCCCAATATACTAGCGTTATAAGCTAAACTGTTTTTAGAGGTAAAACTCTTTATATTCGATTATCATGAAAACAAATCTCAGGGAACGATTTAGTCTGTACCAATGTGTTATTACACCCGAGGTTCATTTTGCGCCGGAGTTGTCCTTTCAATCTGATAAAATTTCAATCGGGTATGCACAAAAATCAGATTTGGACTGACAGTCTGAACATTGCCTTGAATCTCTACTAACAAGCTGATGAGTTGAATCAGGTGTGTTTGATTAGAAAGAGTTCAAAAATGTGTGCTGTTTGGTGTGCCTCCAGAAACAGGACTGGGAAACACTGGTGTTTGTCATAGAACTTTTTACTGTTAACCCTCTGGGGACGGATTGGGCGGTACCGCCCAAAATGGCATACTTTTACAAATGTGTAATTATCTTAAAAACTATTAATGATAGAGAGCTGCGGTCTTTTTTACCGTCTTCCTCAGCTTCCACTGAAAACAGTGATACCCGGCTTGTAAATATACACACTTCCTCGTTGTGCAATACCACTATGTATAAGGCCAATGAAATCGATGTTGTTTGGCAGGTTCCGCGAACAACAACCAATTGAAAAATTGCCAATGGAGAAATATTTTTCTTACCGAATCAGAGGAAGGTTACCACGACCTTTCTAGCAAATCAGAGGACTCTGTAGCCTTGGAAGGGGTGGTACTATATAGTTAGGGATATGACGCAAACAGCGTTGAATGGAGAGAAGGAGAGAGAGCGAACGGAGGCTTACGGAGCGGATTATCAGAGATTTATATGAGAGAGAGAGAGACAGAACAATTATAATATATATATATATATATATATATATATATATATATATATATATACATACATACAATTATAGCATTATTTATTGTTTTAGCACTTTTATGATGGCAAGCAGTAAAGATTTACGGTGGAACAAGCTCTGGAACAATTACTGGAGAGTGACGAGGAGAAAGCATTGCTTAGAAAATTCTAAGCATTCCTAAGAAAAACGCCTGGTACTATTTGTAAATAAAGTTACATTTTTCATTGTTCTTTACACATTTTATTTAACAATTACACATGTCTGTCAAGCAAAGGCTTTGACAAATATATTTTTTGTTCAAAAACTGTTCACTATTTTTGTGTGATGTGTGATTTTCAGAAATAAATGAGAAAAATCTAATTTCCGTTTTTGAAATTCTCTAGTTTATTGTACATTTTTCACTCATACTTCCTTTATAAACACATTACATGCATGCTTATGTTATCTTAGGGTCTTCTGAATCCATAGATACCAAACACATAGTGATCCATCTCCATTACATATGGTTTATAACCCCAAATGTAAAAATAGAGAAAACGGACCAAAAAGGGCTTAGTCCCCAGAGGGTTAAAGAAGCAATATAATATGTAATATAATATAATTGCCATAGATGTGGGGTATGCATTGTGACTGACAGAAGTCAGTGTACATGCTCTGAGCCGCATGTGCTGTCACTATGGTCAGCTCAACTCAACAAGTAGTCTGAGCAGCCATATGCATGGATTTCAGTCAAAATGAGGTGTAAAGTTAGAAAGATTTATTTTGAGCTCTACCTTCTGTTTTTAGTTGGACTGAGACTCTTCTTCAATAATATATGCAGCACAACACCCCAGTCTGTGTTGAGAAAAAGAAAAGCATCTATGGAAAAATAAATCTGTTCATACAGGGAGCTGCCAACATTTTTGCAGAACCAGTAACCCTACACTGAACAAACACAGACCGGCGTACTCATTCAGCTTTCCATGTGCCTTTACTAGTCTGAGTGTCTGCCAGAGAAAATGTGCTCTTAAAATTGCACTATGTTATTTCTCAAAGTCGTTGCTGAACATTGTTGTTTGAAATCAACCCAAACAAACACACCCCTTACTTCATTGCTCCGCCTCAAAAATGCACCCTCCAATCCTAACCACCTAAATGTTTCCTTTCTGTTCAAACTTTAAAACAATTAATCTGGCAGATTATGATCGTTTAAAGGAACACGCCACTGTTTTTTAAAATAGGGGTTATTCACTGTCTCCCCTATATTAGGTGGGCAAACGCATTTTTGTCTCAGTGCATGCATTGTCTTATGGTGTGTTCACACCGAACGCGAATAGAGCGTCAAATACGCGTCTAGTTAGACGCTTGAACATTCGCTCGAGTTCAAATTTTTCAACTTGCGCGGAAGACGTTCGCGGCAAACGCGTCACCCAATTCGCGTCATTTGCAACGCCCGCCTCGAATGATGCGTCTATTCGTGTCTTTGCATTGACTTTGTATGTAATCTACTCGTGCAAATAATTAAATACGCGCTCGGTGTGAACACACCATTAGTCTGGCAGCACCGCCGCTAGCTTAGCTTAGCATAATGAATGGAATCCTTTCTTCAGAAAATCTAAAAATCTAGGTTAGAAATCTAGGTAAATTATATTTTCTTTTTTTAACATTTATTTTGTTGGGTAAATCAAAAAGCTGAATGGATACCAGCTGACTGTCATCATGCCAAAATTGAAGGGAAGCTACAATATAATAGACATCCATCTAATATATCCCCATTTTGATGCACATGTTGATGATTAGAAGATGATGTAAGAAATACTTGCACTGGTGTGTACACGCAAAAAAATTCATGAACAAAATGACAAAGATGTTGGAAAGATTGATAAATCAAATTTGTGAGGGATATTATTTTATTATAATTTTATAATACAGATTTGTGACAATGACATTGGTTTAAATAGAAACTGCACATGTCTGGGATGGTAATACTGTCTTATGAAGTCTGAGAACCATTAGGAAACTGGTTTCCTAGCAAAGTCGCACTGTTTACTGTTTTGTCAGCAGT